CTCGCAAGCTATCATTACAGTTAAAACAATACCATAATGTTCCTCAGCTTATAAGCCCCTTATAACAACCCCCTCCCCCCTCACCCTCCCCCCACACACACACACTTTCATGTCTGTGGATCAAAACCTTTAATGGTATGCCTGCAGAACTTGCTTATAATTATTCAATATTTCAAAAATGACAAATGTTGTGCTGCTGAGCTTCATTCATTGCATGCATGGACTCAGTTGGGACAACCATGGAGGAGAAGAGAACAAGTAAGCTGCTTGGGCTTAATTTTTAGATAAAGAAAGTGCTTTTTTTTCTTGTTTAGACCCCAGAAGTCGTGGTACAGTCAACAAAAGTCGTGGTCACTGAATCTTCCCCAGAAAAAGGAATCAATGGTGATGAGACTAAAGAGGTGAGGCGGGAATATCACGAGTACACAGAGAAGCGAGTTGTGGTGACAACAGAGGTGAATGGGGAAGCAGGTGACGAAAAGAGCACTGATCATGAAGATGGGGATGAAGATGGACCAGATGGAGAGCTGCTGGCTCCCAGTTATGATGAGCCAGGCAGCCCAAAGAAAAAGGGAACCAAGGTGAAGAAGAAGAAGAGCTTTAAAGATGCCTTGGTCAAGAAATTCAGCAAGAAGGGTGAGCGCCCTGCAAAGTATGTCAAAAATGAAGGAGAGAAGGTCACGGAAACAGAGAAAGCAGAGTAATGAATGCGAACTGGTTTCAGAGTGGAAAGTTTTAGTTCATGTCAGTGACTTGCAATATAACTCTTTATCGGCCAGTTGAGCTTCTACAGTAAGAAGCATCTGCTCGTTTTCAAATGTATAAAGTTGCAAATCTTACAAAAGGGGGGCATTGTCAGCTCCACATTCTTGAGAAATTAAGAAGCCTAGCTTGTAAGTGTTTATGATGTGCTCCACGGGGCATGAGTTTCCAAATGATACTATGAGGCATGCAAGATAAAAAGCAAGGGGAACATTCCGTTAGTTATTTTTGTTGACTTTAAAAATGTGCAGATACATGTAAGACTGAAAATTAATGTAGTATTCAACGCCTTTCATCTGCACAGAGAAATTAATCATTGTTTGTGAAAGTTAATGGTCTTGTTTTTTGGATTGTGTGGAAATCAGTTGAGAGTAGATATTTGACAAAGTGTTATGAAAATGATTCCTTCATTTTAAAGTTAGATAATTTTAAGTACCTATTTTTTTTAGAATTTTGATTATTGTTACGAATCCTGGAGATACATGAGCAAAGTAACAGCACTTAGAAAATTATCTGTCTGCGAAGGTGGATCAGCAGCCATCTTTATACAGTTCACTGTACCCA